TGGATTTTAGGTATAAGATTTTTGATATAGGATGCCCAAATTTATGAATTTTCTGGATTCGCGCAATCGGATTTGTATGTTTCCAGTCAAGCAAAAGAAGGTCAAAAAGGGAAATGAAAAATATTAATGAAGGAAAAATAATATCTAATAAGAAGAATAAATAAATGGTAGAATATCTTTAATTGTGAAGAATTTTATTATGACTTATACGAGAAGTACTCGTACGGATTAATAAATATGTAAGTAAACACGCCTGTAATTGTTTAGTATTTAGGGTTTAGGGTTTTGGATTCGTAAAACATATGTATGTACGTGAACAACTATATACGTACTATATGTATATGCATATACATGCCTAATTTAGCCATCCAAAACTCCGTTTTCACATTATTCTCGAACAAGCTAGTTTGTCGAAAGTAAATTGACTCTTCAATTAGAGTTCGTTGCTTTTCATCATGTAAAACATTTTAATTTTATATTATTTTCCAACTTTTATGTATTTCTTATTTTGTTTATAATTCAAGTAATGTTATAAATGATTTAGCTAGTCATGGAAATAATTCAAAAACACACGAAATTATTTACGTAATCCATCTTTTCAGATTTCGTAATAACTATCTCTTGACTTTCCTCCCATTTCAGTCTAGATTTTGCAAAACCATTCCTCGATTATGTTCTCGTATTTACTAAATCTATAATTAATTTCTTAATATGTTGTAAACCAAGACAAGAACTTTCTCTATCTAACCTCGTTTTCATTTTGATTATTTCTCACTCTCTCAACATCTAAAAGCCCTTCCTTGCATCTACAATTTTCTTTTTTCTTTTTTTTTTCTGGAAAAAACATTGAAATGTCACATGCATGTGGGAGTAAAAATCCATCAGTGGACGAGCGTCCCGTAATTTTGGCACTTGAATATCCAAAATTCGATGCATCGAGCTCAGTTCGTCGACCTTCTATACCTCGACCGAGGATTCCTAAACACCCATTTACTTCGTTTGCTGCCGAGCTCTCCCTTTTAATCGTTACCATAAAGACTGGAGAGGTTGCTTCCTTTATTAATTTTCTGTCTCCTTTTCATTTGTTTTTAATTTTTTTTTGTGCTTTTTTTTTATAACAAAACTCTCTACAAAAGTTGGTTTATTACTATTTTCTACTAAAGTATGAAAATGGTTGGCTTTTATTGAAATAATATCATTCCATTTTAGGGCAAATTACGGCCACCCCTGAGTTATAGTCAAATTACAAAAACCCCCTTTTTGTTTGGGTAATTACAACCACCCCCCTCAAATATGTATTATCTTACGAAAATACCCCTCTATAGGTAAATTTAGGGATGTTAATCGGTAAAACCGAACAGAAATTTTGGTACGCCAACATTTCATAACGTTTACTGAACTGAATATACGATTTGGTTCGGTAAATAACCGAATTACATAAATTTAATGTAAAAATATTTAAAAGGAGGGGGTGGTTGTAATAACCCAAACAAGAGGGTTTATTTGTAATTTGGCCGTACCTCAGGGGGGTGGCCGTAATTTGCCCTTCTATTCAACTATTTGTGTGTTTATCTGTGTCTAGTTGTCTCCCAATTCTTGTGCCTATTCGTTTCATCTGCCCACATATTCTGATTTTTGATTTTCTATTTTAGATTTTTGATTTTTGATTTTTGATTTTTGATATTTTATTTTTCATTTTTAATGTTTTATTTATGTATACAAGGTAGGGTACTTTAGCTTCTCTGTCTTGATTTGATTATCTGTATTGTTAGACGTTTTGATTTTATTTGAATTCAAACTTGGATGTTTTACCTAGCTTTTATAGTAAGTTAATTAATAGGAGTTCTTTTGGATACAGCTGCATTTATTTGACTCTTTGATATTTTGTCCGAATAGATCTATCTTATCATAATTAAATCGACTAGGTGTCACAAATTAGGGCACAAAACCAATAAAATGTAACACTCATATACAAATACGTGACGGAACGGAAGTTGGAATTTTGTTTTCTAAGATTCAATAAAGATTCGAAGTTAAGTTATTAGAACTTATGATCGTAAATCGTGTTTAGCAAACTAGTAATATAGTAAATACGGTTTCATTTTCTGGTTTTATGAAAATTTAAAGGGCCATTAATGCGAAACAAATGGAGATTGATTTCGATCTCAATATTTGAAGCGAACTTAACTCGATTTTACAAGTTCAACTCCACTAAGAGCCGCTTTAGTTTCTATGAATTATTAGGTGGTGGAGGAATTTTGTACTTCAATAGTTCATAATTATTGTCTCCTCGAGTTTTGGTAAATCATTCAAAAAGAAATTGATTATGTCAAATTATATGTTAATGTGGTGTTACTTTTATCCGTTTTCGCACAACTTCGTGATAGATTAATGTCAACCTTAAATTTCAGGGTCTTAACTTCACAGAAGATTTATAATATAGTAGGTTATAATTGAACTCCGAGAGAAGAAAAATTGTGACAAAAGAAATAAAAATAAGACTAATTCGTGGATGGAAGTACGGGAAAAGCAAGAAATCGAACACCACTATGATCGTTCAGTTGACGTATAAGTAGTTAACTAGTTACAATAATCTGATGTTCGATTTGCTTTTACGACTCTTCTTTTTGTGTATAAATTGTATCTCATATTTTTTTTTTTCTGCTTATAGGACATTGGAAAACGGATACCAGATTCCTTTCAAGAACGTATCCACCCAAGGTGTGGCGCTTTATCGGTGGAGGGATGTATATATACTGTATCCGGTGATATATCAAACCCGAGAGTCGATATAAAAAGGTTAGCAACGTATTTTGAGGTAAACATGCTTAATTGGGATTGAGTTGAGTGTTTATTTCTTTATTTTTTGGACGAAAAAGTAGAATTAATAATATGATTAAATTTAGCTATTTAGCTTGATTCGATAAATATTGTAGTGTATTAAATTATGTCATTTAGTGGGGAATTTGTGCAGATTTAGTAACTTCTCCGTGCAAATAATATTTGTGCATTTTATCAATTCTAATTTCTAAACGAATAATTAAATTACATAGTTTTTTTGTTATACATCAACTTACGAAACCAATTTATTGTTATACTTGCAGGGTAATTTTTCCATAGCGACCCTCTCAGGCCGTTTCGTAATAACTAACAACGGACCTGTACAGCTGGACTATTTGAAAGTCGGCTTTCAACCAGACGATGCACTCGTCTGCGGTACTGTGATCGGGCCACTGATAGCCGGTTGTGCTGTTCAGGTTAGCTTTTCTCGTAATAGTTCTTTTCTTAATTAAGATAAAATCAAACGAATCGTCCTCCATTAGAATAACGAATTTTCACTATGTTCTTGTACAACATTTTATTTTATTTTTCATTTCTTTTTGTCCAAATAATCCAAATATATAATCGTCAATTAGTGGGGTTATTGTGCAGATTTAGCAACAACTCTGTGCAATTAATATTTGTGCATTTTATGTAAGACCGAATTATCGTACAATAGTTGTTATTTATGTTCAAACCGTATTTTTATTCTATTTTTCTTGTTGTTTTTGCTATATTTGATCACTAATTATGTTATAGTATATTTTCTATAAATTGAGAAAATAGAAAAAAAAAAAAGGCATTATCCAACATTTGAATGTGTTTCCAAAAGATTTATTTTCATTCTTCTTTGAAATATATTTAATTCAATTGCAGGTATAACTGAATGAGAATTCGATGCGTTGATTTTTTTTGCGTGTCGTAACCCAACTAACGTTCATTTTAATGCAGGTCACTCTGGGTTATGCCAGGTTGGATAACGGAGAAACGAGCACAACTCCTCTTCAGTCACCACAGTGCACCTCTGAGGGCTTTGCCGTAAACGAAAATGCCCTTGTAATAATTTGAAATGTTATCGAGCGTTTTAGATTGGTTGGCTATCTACATTAGTAGATTGTGATAGCATTACATGATTTCGATTTCGGGACTCGTAACTTTGAATATTATCTTTTTGATAGTATCGAAACCTTTTTCTTTCGGCTTCATCACATAAGCTGCATAAGTGTAAATTTATGACAGTATTAGTGCATGTTTCTTCGAACCTTATTCTCTAATGTGATCTTTGGATTAAAGAGACTAATGAATAAAATTGTGAAAATGGCAAGTTCAAATAACAAATTATTATAGGCGATATTTTTCAATTAAAATAAAAATAAAAAGAATATTTTATAGTGCGGAAATTGTGCAGATTTAATCGATGTATAGTGTGGAAATTGTGCAGATTTAATCGAAAAACTCATGAAAAGTAGTTCATCATCTATATAATACTTTGAACCTACGGATCCAATTAGTAGTATAAGAGTTTCGTAATTGGAGTAATTTGAAATCAACACAACCGTGAAAACTGCCCAATCATAATCGATGAGTTATTAGCATTATTATTTAAAATAGGAAGAATTAGACTTTCGATCACTAATATTTTTGGTCTAGTTTCACCTTTCATCCTCGTTGTTTCGAGGTAGAGAAAATACACATTAAAATACCAATTTTCAGAAACATTTGGTCCCCTCAGTCCCACTGTAGCGAACGTGACCCCAAATACGTCTGAATAAGGGCCAACGATAGAGAATTACAATTTTGGTCCCTAATGTTTTGCCCAATTTCACTTTTAGTCCCTGTTATTCCAAGGTGGACAAAATATACCGGTTTTCGGCACTCACCACACCCGTGTAATGTCGAATTTCCAAAAACAATTCCATGTTAAGAACATTAGCAAAGACCCCCTATAAAATTTCCTAACTAACCAAACACTAATTGGAACATAATAGAGTTCAACAATGAATGTAAACACAAGGTTGCTAAATACAATAATACATATAGAATGTAAATATTTTAATGCATTGAAATTTCAATATAACGAAAAATATGAAAGTCAATATTGAAAAATACTTGGTAACATAAGTATTCGATATAAATAGACAAAAACCGTAGTGAAAACAAAATTGTTTAAAACATGTTTTTTAATTAATTATGTTTGCAACATCTTGGACATGGATATCTATGCTTAGAAGACAACAATCATTGACTATGAATCCTTTGTTAGGATCATTAATAGTTGCAAGCTCAATCCATGCAGGCCATCCCCAACTATTGATGGAAGTTGAAAACCAATAACTAGTAGCTGCAAAAAAAAGAAAAACAAAAGTTTAATTTTTCGGCCTTTTTAACAACGAGTTTGAAACGTTGCAACGTAACTTAAAATATCTCCTTGTTTGTATATCATCAAATGGCTTTTCACGCATACGGTAAAACATGCCTGCACTCTTTCTAAACCAAGATGGTTCAGAAATATGCTAACATGGCTGTCGGTTCCCGTTCCACTTCCTTTCGGATCAAGAATAATCTTCCTAAGTTTACATAAAAAAAATAATAATAATAAAATTAAATTAAATGAAAAAAAGTAAGGAGAAAAAAGAGTAGAGTAGTTATGAAATAACACTTCCAGAAAGATAGTTGCAATAATACTAAAAAGTTGTACCACTTTTGACCTCCGGCTATGAATTGTTCAGAAAAGCATCTTTTGTTCAATTTGGAGAAGTCTGAAATCTTGAAATCATGCTTGTAATGAATATTGATATTATTCAAGGACACGCATTCAATGATGGCGTCTTTTTTTACTACAAAAACCTCAGCACCAAACACAATGTTGTCGTTGACTAGATAACCATTTGATGGATCTGACAGAATTTTCTTAGAGATAAATTTTGAAATACCCATTCAGACTTTGTTTCTAAGAAACATCTTGTTTTTCCTGTCTGTGAATATTTTTGGTATCATAAAAAATACTCCTTAGCAATTTAAGATGTAGGATGAAAATGATAGAAAGAGAATAATACCCGGTGAAGAACGATAATTGCCGGAAATCAGATTATAGAGAAAGATGTTGAAGACAACATTGACCTCCCAGTTTGCAGGAAGAGAACTCGTGTCCTCCATAGCCAAGCTCACAGAAACATACTCACAATTTTTTCCATTAAAATAGATTATTAGTCTCCTGTACAAATTCAAACATCCTCTATTACTACAAAGAATAATTATATAATTCTTTCAAAGTACGAGTATCCTTATTATAATTATGTATATATATAAGAGAGACAGAATGGGAAAATTTATCGATTTTACATTTGGTCCCCATGTTCACAAAAAACAAATTTGGTTGCTTATACTTCAATAATTCAACACTTTTAGTCATTACTATCAATTTCCCATTAAAACTAAGGAATCAAGCCTGTGCCCATCACAACGAAATAACAGTAAATTGACGGAAATGACTATAAGTGTTAAATTATTGGACGTGAGGACCAAATGTCACCAAATGTGTTTTTTAGACTAAATGTGAAATCGGTGAAAACTTGAGGGGTGAAAACTGTAATTTTCCCGACAGAGAATCCAAGGAATATGCCTACCACTTATAGTCTCCAGCCACAATATCCCTGGTTTCGTATTCGTCAATACCACACGTGCCAATATATATATATATATATATATATATATATATATATATATATATATATATATATATATATATATATATATATATATATATATATATATATATATATATATATATATATATATATATATATATATATATATATATATATATATATATATATATATATATATATATATAAACATATGAGAAAAAAATTGAAAAGCAAATTAGGTTTTGTGAGAATTTTCGTACCATCTATTGTTGGATTCATTGCCATGTTATTGTGCCCTGTGTTTGGAGGAATTAGGGTTTTCTCCAATGCTTACGTCTGCAGAGTTCTTGTTCAACACTCCAACTAGGACAATTAATCAGTAATTGCAATTCACAAGTTTTCTTGAAACTAATGCACCACTAATTTTTTGCGTAAGATTTTGTATATTATTTTAAGGAAATAATTAAACTTTGGTTTAATCCCACTTTGCACCCTTGAATTGGAGCATTTTGGCAATTTGCACCCTTGAAAAACAATAATAGCACTTTGCACCATCAAAACACAATAAATCATTCACACTGTACCCTCAATTGAATAATAAAGTTTTTATTAGGTTTTTTTTTTCTGGGATGCAAAATAACAAATTAATTTTTTTTTTCTTCAACCTTCCACATAATTTCGAGCGCACAAAGTGCGACAATATTAAAATTACACATGATTGTTGAAAAAAAGAACTATATTTACTTCCAAAATAAAATAAAATAAACGTTTATCTCTAAATTATTCGATTAATGGATCTTTAATTGTAACTGGTGAAAATATTAGGTAAAAATATTTGGAAGAAAATATGATTTTCAGATAACTTGATAACAAAATAGCTTAAGGATTTTTTTTAGATATGTTGATGAGATGTATTTTTATTTTTGCAGTTTATAGTTTCATAATGATTGATGAATAAAAAAAAAAATGCATTTGACATTTGTCATCCTAAAAATACCACTAAAAACATTTTATTACCTTTATTAGGTTTAAAAATTCATTTGGGATGCATTATGCATGATTTATTGTGTCTTGAGAGTACAAAGTGCTATTATTTTGTTTCGAGGGTGCAAAGTGCCAAAATAGTATATTTCAAGGGTGTGAAGTGGGATTAAGCCTTGACCGTTTTTTTCTTTGAACTAACACCTTCGAAATATGGGAAATTTTGTACACGCCCTAAGAACTAATATTCATGCAAATAGATCCACACAAAAAAAAAAAACAAAATTTTATCTCTAGATCATGTATGATAAAAATACACTCGTCTTGTTTAAAATACTTATAGGGCATAATCCGAAATGAATCTAAAAATTAGAAAAAAATCAAAGGTTGTAGATTTTTATGTCGACTTTCCACCACAACTTGAATAAGAGCTATTGGGGGTTAATATGCATAATGATTTAGAATTGGGGTCAAGGTGCAATTGGTTAAATGATGATTTTTGGAATGAAATTGGAGTAAATTAGATATTAAGGAGCATTTTAGTATTTGGTAGGGTTGATGTCCTTTTTGGTACAAGTGATTTTGGAGTGGAGGGATTACCAAATAAGTAACATCCCATGGGTTGATTTGCGACTTGCCCTAAAAAAATAGGTCGTAATCTAATGTTGGGTTATAACGGTTATGAACATATATTGTTCAAAGTGCCCCCGTAGGCCATAACATTAGATTTAGTATTAGGGTAAATAGCATAACCCCTGTATTTAAAACTTTTTCCAGTTGATCTGAGCTAAATGGTCCGATAGAGAAATTGAGATATGTGATGCATTGAAGGACCACTGAAAGAAGGCCCAAAGTAGGAAAGCCCACTCCAAGCCCAGGAGACCTGCAAAAAAGGAGTATCAGGGGGAGTTATTTGGCGTTAGCACTCCGACGATCAAGTCAATTGGTTTTTTAATGAAATATTGTAAGTACTTACAATATCGTCTAGTTTGTTTATCATCAAACTGGTTTTTTATGCATACGGTAAAACATGTCTGCACACTTTCGGTACCAAGATAGTACAAATAGATGCTAACATGGCTGCCAGTTCCTTCTGCATTTCCTTTTGGGTATAGAAGGATTTTCCTACGTTTACATATATTAAAATATTTAAACACAGCAAAAAAAAAGAAGGTAATAGTTGTGACAAACAAAAAAATTGTACCATTTTTGGTGTCCAGCATCAAATTCTTCAGACACCCATCTTTGGGGAAATTGGGAGAAACCCGAAATTTCCAAAGCATGATTGTAATAAGTATTCACATTCGTCAATAACACACGTTCAATGACTAGTTCTCTTTTGACCACAAAAACTTCAGCACCAAACACACAGCTGTCATCGGTTATGTATCCATTTGATGGATCAGACAAAACCTTTCTAGAGATAAATTTTGAAATTCCCCATTCGGACTTTGTTGCTTGGAAACAAAGCGTTCTTCCAGCCAATAATATTATAAAAATAGTGCTTAGAAATTAAAGTAAACAAATAATTTATGACTAAAAAGAGAAAAAAAAAAGGTGAGTATTATATAATACCTGTTGAAGAAAGATAGTTGCCCGAAATCTGATTAAAGAGAAAGACGCTGAAGAGAGCATTGACTTCCCAGTTTGTAGGCAGAGAAGTTGTGTCCGCCATAGCCAAGTTTACAGATATATAATCACTATCTTTTCCATTAAATTTGAATATTAGTCTCCTGTACAAATTCAAACATCCTCCATTACTTCTTTATTATTATTATGTAGGCTTATTTAGTGGCTTATTAAGGAGAGGGAGAGAGAATATACCACTTGTAATCGCCGGCGACAAATTCTTTTGTTTCGTATTTCTTAATTCCATACTTTTCTAACACGGAGAAAGATTCAATCTTGATCATGTAGTGAGCAGGTGGTGCCTCTCTTGTATTCAAGGTGGTCACTTCTAAAAATAGTAGATGCACATAATTTCAGCACAAAAATGTACATACATACATACATACATACATACATACATACATACATACATACATACATACATACAGTAGAATCTCGATAAATTAATAACCTCGCTTAAATATTAACTTCTCCCAGTCCTGAATCGGTGAAAACGTACTAAATTATTAGTTCGATGATTATTAGTTAGAATTTTGCCAGTTCCGACTGTATTGATTTTGCAGAGGCTTAATTGTATATACACGAGAAGCAAAAAATAGATTTTTTTTGTAAAGAGAATTGTCATACCATCCTTCGTTGCTGGCTTCACATACAAACAGTTTCCCATCGTCTTCTTCTGTTGTTTTTTTGCCCTACTTTAAGTTTGTAAAATCAGAGTAGTCTTTATATATTATTATATACATGCATGAATGGGAATATTAATTATTAATCAGTACGTAAGTACTTTGACTTCCATGGGAATTCTAATGCATGAAGAGTTCTTGTCCAATGGGAATATCAATACGTAGGTTTTCTTGAAATTTAAGTTTGGAACGGTGAATATTGGTATAAGTTAGTCACCAAGTGAATTTAATTTAGGGTTAAATACGCTTTGGACCCCCCAAGTATATATACTCTATGTAACATTTACCCCTTAAAATTTCATTTGTAATACGTACCCCTTAATATAATTATTTTGTATTTTGATATTTAAAAAATAATAATAATACTCTTAATATATTTCCTCTTTCATTGGATGTAATAATTTAAAACATAATTTAAATAGTTTCATCAAAAATATCAATTGAAAAGTCAATGCAATATTTAATATTTTAAAGTTTTATATTTCATTGGTAGAATAAAAAATCCATTAGAGTCGAGACGAGGAAATTAACAACAACTGAAGAAACATCAAAATACTCAAAAATCGACAGCTAATGACAATGATAATAATCATAATGCCAATGCTAGTAATACTAACTATAATGTTAATCCTAATAATAGTAATGCTAATTATAATGCTAATTATAATGTTAATCCTAATAATAGTAATGCTAATTATAATGTTAATCATAATAATAATCATAACAATAATAATTATCATAACAACAACAACAAAAATAATAATAATAATAATAATAATAATAATAATAATAATAATAATAATAATAATAATAATAATAATAATAATAATAATAATAATAATAATAATAATAATAATAATAATAATAATAATAATAATAATAATAATAATAATAATAATAGTAATAATAATACTAATAATAATAGTAGTAATAATAATAGTAGTAATAATAATAATAATAATAATAATAATAATAATAATAATAATAATAATAATAATAATAATAATAATAATAATAATAATAATAATAATAATAATAATAATAATAATAATAATAATAATAATAATAATAATAATAATAATTCACCGGGATTACGAAAATTGAAATTCACCATATAGTCAACCAAAACTACTATAAAATTATCAAAAATCGCAGTAAAATGTACCGTCAAAATCACTGTGACATTAATATTATCCACTAATGTATTGACATAATGCACAACAAACTTATCGAAATCAACTAAAAACATACATAATCCACTACGAATGAACGTAATCCACGACTAATACAACTGAAATAATAACAAATAAAAAAAGAACGTAAATCCACTATTGGAAATGCAAATCCATTGTTATGTCCAGTGGCCCTGGGATCACCCAACCTAGCCACCCCGTCGCCTCACTTCGCCTGCTCAAGAACCTGAATTGATGAAAATTAACATAATCTACTGCGATGTTAACGTAATCCATTACATAATGAATACACGACAAAATTAATGTAATTGAAACTTTTACAAATGTTATCTGTTTCGAATGCAAGAATTTAAAATCCACGACAATCTCATTAGGCCTATTTTGGTTGGAGGGATGGGAATAGATGGGATTCGAAATCCAACTGCACATGACACTGTAGAGATAGATGGTAAAAGCTAGGAACTCATATTTCGTAAGAGGGATTGAGTTCATGGGATTAAATCTTTCGTTATCAATCTTATGATAGGTATGTTGGATTGGTTGATTATTGTGATCATTTACAATATTACCCCCACAAATTAGGATATTAATAATGCTTTTGCGTATCATTTGTTCTGCATGATTTCAAATTTTCATTTGAATTTTCGTTTTCTCTTTCGTCTTCTGTATACATAATTATGCAAGCTAATAAATATCATTTTTCCTTTTGGTGTGATGGCAAAGTTTGTGGAGCAGATGATGATTCCCGTCTTGTTGGAAATGATTAATGCATTGCAATCTTTGGTTAGAAAGCATGAAACAAAAAATGGATGGTGAAAATTGTTGATGTTTTAAGATAAATGTTTGTTGTCCTCAAAGTTAGTATTTACCAAGTCTGAGTAAATAGTAAAAAAAAGGATTTGATTGGTAGCAATCAAGTACTTAAATAATTTCTGAAAATGACCGAAAATAAATTAGTGTGCTCGGTGAATCTTCATACCATCAATTTTGTCGACATCAATGAAATTCTCACAAAACCTGCAAGGCTGTAACACCATTATTACAAGTCTATCGAACATTTATCAATAAAAAAATATTCATACAATCATATCACGGTGGAACATCAAAGTGATACAAAATAACAATTCTCATGAATACAATTGAACCAAATTCACAAAACAAAGACAACTAACTACCTATCTCGTACTATTCGATCCTAAGAAAAATAAATAAATACAACAATATCTTAAAAGAAAAACTGGTGTGGAGTCTAAGTGTTTCCTCTATTTCTTGTAGTTATCTTTACTATCCGTCACCTGTTCGCAAAGAAAAAAATAAAATAAATTACTTAAGTTAGTAAAAAATAACAACGATAGAATACAATAAATTTGTAGTCCCGTTGCTTACGGAACTCTAAAGCATAACAACTTTGTCTGAAGGTCATGCTACCGATAACAAAATTACTAAATATATGCTCCTTTAAGCTTCCATTTTCTATATATTGAAATACTAGGAACCTGAAAAGAAAAAATAGTACTGCTAAAAGAATCTAAATCTATTTAAATTAGCATTTATTCAGGTACACCTTTAAAATATAGAAGTCATTCCATCATAAAATATTGGGTAAATAGCACTTAACCCCCTTGTGGTTTGGACATTTTGCACATGACCCCCTTATGGTATGAATTTAGGCACATAACCCCCTTGTGGTTTTGGCATTTTGCACAAGACCCCCTTATGGTATGAAATTAGGCACATAACCCCCTTGTGGTTTTGAAATTTTGCACATAACCCCCTTATGGTATGAAATTAGCACATAATCCCCTTAAATAGAAAACTGAAAAGACTAAATTACCCCTATCAAGTCAAAAAAAATTGTTTTAATTTAAAAATAATTATTCTATAAAATGAAAATCTTAATGTACTTTTTTGTAAAATGAGAAATATAACAAATTATTGTGCTTTTTTCTTTAATTTTATTAGTTATTGTACGATTGACAATTTATTCGATTTTAAAAATCAATTTGAAAATCTTTAACATTGTCATTAATTATGATTATTATATTACTATTTGCTATATAATATATTATATTATAGCTATTATCAAACTTTAATTTTTTTAAGAAACAAAGTCTTTATTCTTTTTATTCTTTTGGAAAAATCTAAAAAAAATATTCATCTAAAGTTGAAATGAAAATTAAATTTAAAAAAAAAATGTGCGGTAAAATAGAAAAAAACACAATAATATATTATATTTCTCATTTTACAAAAAAATATATTAAGCTTTTCATTTTATAGAATAATTATTTTTAAATTAAAACAAGAATTTTTGACTTGATAGGGGCAATTTAGTCTTTTTCAGTTTTCTATCAAGGGGGTTATGTGCTAATTTCATACCATAAGGGGGGTCATGTGCAAAATTTCAAAACCACAAGGGGGTTATGTGCCTAATTTCATACCATAAGGGGGTCATGTGCAAAATGTCAAAACCACAAGGAGGCTATGTGCCTAAATTCATACCATAAGGGGGTCATGTGCAAAATATCCAAACCACAAGGGGGTTAAGTGCTATTTACCCTAAAATATTTATCAAACATGATGCAGAAAGACAAAAAGAGGGATTCGAAGACAAAGATTGGAACACTCTAGAGATTAAAATACAAATATGGGAGAAATCATGAAAAGCAACTTCTTGATTACGATTTTCCAAAATTTGGGGGAGCCTGCAAAATAAAGTCAGTCCATCGTAAACTTCTTTCCATGATAGTCTTATCAAACCAAAATTCATCTCAATATTAACTATTGAAACAAAGAAAAACTAATTCAATTTGCAAAAGGACATTAAAATTATAAAGTGCAAGATTTCATAACAAGCGTAACAAAAAGATCTTTTTCGATAACACGCTTATCTATTAGTTCTCTTGAGTTTTCTCCTGTTTGTCTCCCCATACCTATACAGTTGAAGCATTCTTGAACATACTTATCTCTCCATTACTCTTTTTACTAAAAACATTGAAGGGGAGGATCTATGTCATAAATTGGCATATAAATGCCAGAAACATGCACAAAATTGATGGGTGAACAAGTAATAATATGGACGCACATCATAACATGTATTAACTAACCTGATAATGCAAACATATTTTAGGAAGAAGGCGTTCAAGCTTGTCGTCTAAACCGAGTCGTAAGCTATCCGATTGAGCAAGCCCCGTCCACCAGTCGACAATTCGTATGCAACAACTCCTTTCAACATTTATAGAACACAAAAAAGTTGGAACGGAGTTAGATTTTTTTCCAAAAAAAAAAGCAAATTATGTAATCTATAAAATCGAAAGGACACAAACCTTGTGCAACTCCGACGAAGAGCTTCAAGAAATATATAACGGACTTCTTCAATCAGCAGGGGAAAAAAGGGGAAACAAATACGATTTTTTTCTTACGTTAATCGAAGGAGAACTGAAGAAACCGAAATGTGTAGGGAGATGAACGGCCAAGGCTGCTAGGGAATATGAGGTTTGGGGGAACAATTGTAATATATACCCGGTACAAGTGTAATAACGGAAGAATATTGAGGGCTTAAAGGTCAAAAATCATGTGGGTATGTAGGGGAACGGATGGGATTGTGGGATCTCACCTCCCACGGTCGGCTCTACGATCCATCAATTAGCGGATCGTAACCTGGGCCCAAGATCCATCTCGGGTCCGTTTAAATGAACCAAATTGAGATCCGGGTAGATTAGAAGATCCATCCGGCCCAATCCATTCAACCAAAATAGGCCTTAAAATCCACAACAAAAATATCGAAATTCACT